TTGCCAATTCTTCCCTCTAGGACTTCTCCAGAACCTCTCCCATCCCCTGGAACTCCCTACCCCAATCTCTCCAGCTATCCCCTGCTCTGTCCACCTTTAGGCAATCCCTGAAATTTAATTTCTTCAGTAAAGTCTATGCTGCCTCAACCTAAAAACTGAAAGTGCAACTACGCTGCTTTGAATATTAAAGCTTAATTAAATTGTGTTTTTTGGTTTATGGTTCTCAGTTGCAATCGCCCCCCATCCATCCATCCATCCATCCATGTCTGCATGATTTATTTTGCTGAGAAATCACTTTGAAAAACACCCCTAGCATTTCTAGCTGTGGCCATCTTGAGTAAGGGCAGATGATTCATGTAACATTTGCTTCCTGAAATCCACCTGTCCTTAGCTAAGGCATGCAGACAGGAAAATAGTTAATGTTGATTGAGAGAGTGAAGTTGAACTTGAACTGTCACTATCAACTCCTCCCCTCACAGCCATTACCTTTTTGTGTTCCGTGCACCTTCTTTTTAGATTGTAAGTTCTCATGAGCAGGAACCTCCCTGTCCTATTGTTTTGTTTTAATTTTCAAAACCACTTCCCACCTGTAGGACGTCGTATGACATCTTCAGGTTAAAGTGGTTATACCAGGACCCGCATGCATCATCCCAGTTTCAAAACGTTCTGCTAGTGATTCTCTTTTCAGCAGAAGTGAAAGTTCCAATTAAAATAAGTAATAAAACTTAAACAAAAAATTAGAGAGCCCCCTCCCCCTGTGCTTACGAGTAAAACGCATGTGTAACGCTCACAAACATATGTAAACAGTGATTGCACCACACTTGTGAGGTTTCGTCACAAACGTCAGAGCGAGAGCAATCATTTTAGCTCCAGAGCTCTTGTGTAACTCTAACCTGGTAACCTGTAAAGGCTTTTAAAGCATCGCTCATGGAGATTTTTAGGTACTGTAGTTTGCTGGGTGTACGCAGTTTTAAAGCGTGACACGTTAGGTATCTATTTACTCGGCGCAACATCATCTTGTATATTTTAACAAAAAAATAGGTATTCTGAAGTGTGAAATAAAATTAATTTAAGTGTATTTTTTTTTCCCCAAAAAATTGCATTTGAAGATTTGCTGCACAATTACCGTGTGACAAAGTGCAACATCCACTATTTTTTTTTTTTTTAAATATGTTTTAGCATTTCTAAGTACTTTTCCAGTAAAAAAAACACTGATTTTTACATGTAGGAGAGAAATGTCAGAATTGGCCTGGTGGAGGACTGACTAAACTGTACTGTATTTGTAAAGTGTTGCATAAACTGTTGTCACTATCTAAATCCTGTATAAGCATAAATTAATGCACTCTGCAATCATTATTTTAGCTTAAATCCTTGAGCACAACAAAACAAACATTCCCCAGTAAACAATTAGTGAAAATTCTTGACCCAGCAATTGCAATAACTTTTAGTTTCTAAGTTTTAAGTGGAGTGCCTTGTCATCTAAGGCTATGGGGCTGTGTGTTTCTGTTAATGCACACAGTGTAGGGACATAGACCATAGTCCCTGCATACAAGGGTGGCTCCATGAGATGCCTTCAAGAGAGGCACCAGTGTAAACAGGAGCACAGGCAAGGATTTAACTGCCTCCCGCCCATCATATAGTAACATGACTGACGCAAGGCGGTTCTCTCATTCTGGGAGGACGTCATATGACTCCCTCCCATTCTAACCACGCATGCGCGGCTCCGGGAGTGAGGCGATGGACGGAGGGACACAGCAGATCACCAATCAACGGAAAGAGCCAAAGATGTCGGCTCGGTCATGTGATCAGCTGTGTCCAATCACAGCTGATCACATGTAAACAGGGAAATGCCAGTTATCGGCATTTCTCTCCCCACAAGCTGTCACGCTGACAGCTTGTGAGGAGAGGAGAGCCGGTAATCGGCATTCCTCGGAGGGGACATGTACACTGATCATCAGGGCACTGATGATCAGTGTGCCCTCTTGATCTGTGTAGCCCCAGCAGTGCCACCTGTCAGTGTCCATCAATGCCAGCTCTCAGTGCTCATTCATGCCACCTGCCAGTGCCACATTTCAGTGTCACATCAATGCCACATATCAGTGCCCATCTGAGCTGCCTTTTAGTGTCACTCATCAGTACCAGTCAGTGCCACCTATCAGTGTGCATCAGTGCCATATGAGTGCTGCCTTTCAGTGCCCATCAGTAATGCCTGTCAATGCCCATCAGTGCCACCTACCAGTGCCTCCTCATCAGTGCAGCCTATCAGTGCCCATCAGTGTAGCCTCATTAGCTCACATCAGTGAAGGAGAAATATCACTTATTTACAAAATTTTATAACAAAAACAAAGAAAAACCTTTTTTTTTTTTTTCAAAATTTTCAGTGTTTTTGGTTTGTTTAAGACAAAATAAAAAACCCAGAGGTGATTAAATACCACCAAAATAAAGCTCTATCTGTCACAAAAAAATGATAAAAATTTCATATGGGTACAGTGTTGCATGACTGTGCAATTGTCATTCAAAGTGCAACATCGCTGAAAGCTGGAAATTGGCCTGGGCAGGAAGGGGGTATAAGTGCCCTGTAGGCAAGTGGTTAAAGATGAAGAAGCTGCATACTTGTGTTAATAAATCACCTTTTGAAAGTGCTTTAAATTGAGTATTTAATATTTGAATCATACAGTAACCTTGAAAAAGTATTCATACCCCTTGAAATTTTCTCCATTTTCTTATATTACAACCTAATACGTAAATGTATTTTATATGGATTTCATGTGATAGACCAACACAAAGTGGCACATAATTGTGAAGTGGAAGGAAAATGATAAATGGTTTTCAAAATTTTTTACAAATATCTGCAAAGTGTGGCGTGCATTTGTATTCAGCCCCCCAGAGTCAGTACTTTATAGAATCACTTTTCGCTGTAATTACAGCTGCAAGTCTTTCAGTCTCTTAACAGCTTTGCACATCTAGAGAGTGACATTACTGCCCATTCTTCTTTGCAAAATAGCTTAAGATCTGTCAGATTGGATTGTGGAGTGAACGACTAATAGTTGTCCTGTGGACAGTTTCTCCCACCTGAGCTGTGGATCTCTGCAGCTCCTCCAGAGTTCCCATGGGCCTCTTTGCTGTTTCTCTGATTATTGCTCCTCTTGCCTGGCCTGTCCGTGTAGGTTGACAGCCATGTCTTGGTAGGTTTGCAGTTGTGTCATACTCTTCCCATTTTCAGATGATGGATTGAACAGTGCTCCATGAGATGTTTAAAGATTGGGATATTTTTTTTTTTTTTTAATAACTTAACCCTGCTTTAAACTTCTCCACCACTTTATCCCTGACCTGTCTGGTGTGTTCCTTGGCCTTCATGATGCTGTTTGTTCACTAATGTTCTCTAACACACCTCTGAGGGCTTCACAGAACAATTGTATTTATACTGAGATTAAATTACACACAGGTGGGCTCTATTTACTAATTTGGTGACTTCTGAAGTCAATTGGTTCCAATAGATTTTAGTTAGGGGTATCTGAGTAAAGGGGGCTGAATACAAATGTATGCACACACTTTTCAGATATTTGTAAAAAATTATTTACCATTTTACTTCCACTTCACAATTGTGTGCCACTTTGTGTTGGTCTATCGCATAAAATCTCAATAAAATACATTTCCGTTTTTGGTTGCAACATGATAGAATGTGGAAAATTTCAAGGCGTATGAATACTTTTTCAAGGCACTGTAGCACAAAGTTTTAACCATTGGATATCAGCAGCTACCTTCAGTTGCCTACTGCATTGTGGCAGTTTATTGGCACTTCTGTACTACATTGTTCTGAGTATGGCTCTGCTTGTAGCCTTTGTTTTGCACCTTGTATCTTCTCCAAGCACTAGTCCATGTTCTTGCTCTGCTTCAACAGTGGGATATTGGACAACCTCTCTCTGAAGGTGTTCATCTCAGGCAGTTAATCGGTGTCCATCAGACTGGGCCATCTGTGATCCGGAAGGATCATAAACCTCCAGAGCTCAGCACTGAAACCGTCTCTTCACTTTGGAGTATCTGAGCTTTATCTGAATCTCAGCCTTGTTAACGCTTCAGGCTCACTGCCCCTGCATTCAGACTTTGGGACCAAGGAGTGAAACAACCCTGCTTTTTGTATGAGGGTCTTAGGTCTGATGGGGTCCTCTTGAGGCAGTCCCATATCCTCACTTTCACTCTATAGATTGTTCACACTCACTATTTTTGATAGTGTGGGACATGAGGGTTTCATTTCTTGATTGTCCTTTTGACTCAACTTACTCTGGAGTCCAGCTCTAGACATGGAAAGAGCCCTTCTGCTCAATTCCTTGGCAGGTGCTCCCAATGAACATTAGCCACTTAGGCGGGGGAGTAGTCCTGGCAATCTTCCAAGGACTTGGTTGTCTCAGAACCTTTATCCTGTGATCAATATTTACAAAGTACGTTTTGTTGTGTAAGGTGCTCTTTTGATTCTCTCCTTGACCCATTGTTACATAGGCCTGTTAATGCTGATTTGCTGCGTTGCCCACCCCTCAGTTGGACTGATTTGTGATGTCCCATGGTTAAGATTAGGTTCTGTGCTGTACAATTAAGAAAATAAAATTTTTGGCTTACCTGTAAAATCAGTTTGTTGTAATACAGTACAGGGCAAAGGCCGTTCCCATCTGTTCTTATGATCTCCCTATTGCTTGCTGCAAAATTTAAGCTAGCTGGAAGTGGGGTGGAGTTGTAGAAAAGGATTTTAGGAGTAAGTAAAAAATTAAATTTATTTTATTTACTTTTTAATACAAGCATTGGCATGTTAATTTTTATCTAAGTTTTGACTGGAGCTCTGCTTTGAGTTCCAGGCACAGGCTACATATAAATTAGATCTGTTTGAACCAAGGTTCTTTAACTGCTGTTAATATTACTATTGAACAAAGCTGTGTCCGTAGATTGAAATTGTGTTCTGAACTGTATGTTCTTAGCATTTTTTTCTAATGTAGTGATTCTCATTGAAGGGGGACGGACCTGAATTACACAGGAACGGAGATCCCAGAGCCACAGCGGATGCGCAATGACATCAGCGATCTCTCCGCTATGGAAGAAGCATTGGATGACCTAATCAGAGATTGCGCTCATCAACTCTTCCGGCTAACAGAAGACCGAGCAAACAGGAGCTATCCTTTTTATGTTTAGGGTATCAGAACTCCCAGAGAGAGAAAAATTACCAGCGAGCTTGCATAATCTAAGATTATACAAATTTGGGGAATGATTTTGAGTTCTTACAATACCTGAATTAACTGTTCTTTGCAGCTCGGTGCTTGTTCCCAGTTGCAGCCGTTTTGGGCATGTTGGCACAGGCTTAACTCTTATATCAGTCTGTATTATATGCAGTGGCTGGATATACTGTATTCATGAATATACACTGCATCTAGAAAGTATTCACAGTGCTTAACTTTTGCTACATTTTGTTATGTTACAGCCTTATTTCAAAATGGATTAAATTAATTTTTTTCCCTCAACATTCTACAACAATACCCCATAATGACAACGTGAAAGAAGTTTGTTTTGAAATATTTTCAATTTATTCAAAATAAAAAAAGAAAAAAAAAACACATGTACATACAGTGGGGATCGAAAGTTTGGGCACCCCAGCTAAAAATTTGTATTAATGTGCATAAAGAAGCCAAGGAAAGATGGAAAAATCTCCAAAAGGCATCAAATTACAGATTAGACATTCTTATAATATGTCAACAAAAGTTAGATTTTATTTCCATCATTTACACCTTCAAAATAACAGAAAACAAAAAAATGGCGTCTGCAAAAGTTTGGGCACCCTGCAGAGTTAATATCTTGTACTGCCCCCTTTGGCAAGTATCACAGCTTGTAAACGCTTTTTGTAGCCAGCCAAGAGTCTTTCAATTCCTGTTTGAGGTATCTTTGCCCATTCTTCCTTACAAAAGTCTTCCAGTTCTTTGAGATTTCTGGGCTGTCTGTCACGCACTGCTCTTTTAAGGTCTATCCATAGATTTTCAATTATGTTGAGGTCAGGAGATTGTGAAGGCCATGGCAAAACCTTCAGTTTACGCCTCTTGATGTAATTCCCCATGGATTTCGAGGTGTGTTTAGGATCATTTTTCATTTGTAGAAGCCATCCTCTCTTTAACTTCAGCTTTTTCACAGATGGCATCAAGTTACCATCCAAAATTTGCTGAAATTTTATTGAATCCATTTTTCCTTCTACTCGTGAGATGTTCCCTCTGCCACTGGCTGCAACACAACCCCAAAGCATGATTAATCCAACCCATTGCTTAACAGTTGGACAGAGGTTCTTTTCAATAAATTCTGTGCCCCTTCTTCTCCAAACGTACCTTTGCTCATTCCGGCCAAAAAGTTCAATTTTAACCTCATCGGTCCACAGAACTTGTTTCCAAAATGCATCAGGCTTGTCTATATGTTCAATTGCCAAGTTCAAACGATGATTTTTGTGATGAGGACGTAGAAGAGGTTTTCTTCTGATGACTCTTCCATGAAGACCATATTTGTACAAGTATCTCTTTATAGTGGAATAGTGTACCACAACTCCAGTGTCTGCCAGATCTTTCTGGAGGGATCGTGCAGTCAAACGTGGGTTTTGAATTGTTTTTCTCACAATCCTGCGAGCTGTTCTGTCTGATATTTTTCTTGGTCTTCCAGATGTTGCTTTAACTTCCACTGTTCCTGATGACTGCCATTTCTTAATTACATTCCGAACAGAGGATATTGACATCTGAAAATGCTTTGCTATCTTCTTATAGCCTTCTCCAGCTTTGTGAGCATCAACTATTTTCAGTTTCAGTTTTCTAGACAACTGCTCAGAAGAACCCATGGTGCTGATTGTTGGGGCAAGGTCAGATGAGTCTGGGCATTTAAAACCTTTGAGATTGACATAACCTGGTCTTCCCAGATGATGATTGAGAACAATCCATGACACTGGCAGGTCTCAGCTTTGCAAAGGGGGCAGTGCATGCTATAAATTCTGCAGGGTGCCCAAACTTTTGCAGACGCCATTTTTTTGTTTTCTGTTATTTTGTGTAAATGATGGAAATAAAATCTAACTTTTGTTGACATATTATAAGAATGTCTAATCTGTAATTTGATGCCTCTTGGAGATTTTTCCATCTTTCCTTGGCTTCTTTATGCACATTAATACAAATTTTTAGCTGGGGTGCCCAAACTTTCGATCCCCACTGTAAGTATTCACAGCCTTCATACTTTGTTGAAGCACCTTTAGCACCAATTGCAGCTTCAAGTCGTTTTGAGTATGATGCTACAAGCTTGGTACACCTATTTTTTGGCCCGTAGCCACTCCTTTGTTATGTGGACTGTGTGCTTGGGGTCGTTGTCCTGTTGAAAGATGAACTGTCACCCCAGTCTAAGGTTTAGAGCGCTCTGGAACAGGTTTTCATTAAGGATGTCGTTGTACATTGCTGCATTCATCTTTCCTTCGATCCTAACTAGTCTCTCAGTTCCTGCCGCTGAAAAACATCCCCACAGCATGATGCAGCCACCACCATGCTTCACTGTAGGGATGGTATTGGCCAGGTGGTGAGTGGTGCCTGGTTTCCTCAAGACATGACGCTTGGCATTCAGGCCAAAGAGTTCAATCTTTGTTTCATCAGTTTTGTTTCTCATGGTCTGAGAGTCCTTCAGATGCTTTTCGGCAAACTCCAGGCGGGCTGCCATTTGCCTTTTACTGAGGAGTGGCTTCCGTCTGGCCACTCTACCATACAGTCCTGATTGGTGGAGTGCTGCAGAGACGGATGTTCTTCTGGAAGGTTCTCTCTCCACAGAGAAATGCTGGAGCTCTTTGAGAGTGACCATCAGTGGCTTGGTTACCTCCCGGGCTAAGACCCTTCTCCCTCAATTGCTCATTTTGGCAGGCGGCCCGCTCTAGGAAGATTCCTGGTGGTTCCAAACTTCTTCCATTTATGGATGACGGAGGCCACTGTGCTCATTGGGGCTTTCAATGCTGCATAGATTTTTCTGTACCCTTCCCCAGATCTGTGCCTTAATACAATCCTGTCTTGGAGGTCTATGGACAATTCTTTGGACTCCATGGTTTGGTTTGTGCTCTGACATGCACTGTTAACTGTGGGATCTTATATAGACAGGTTTATATTTTCAGGTGAGTTACCAGACATCACAGGAGCTGAAATGTGTTATGTACGGGTTCGTGAGAAATACAGGATTTCCTGGAGAAATATCAAGGTGCCACAATTTCGGCATGACTCTTATTTCCTAATCATGTTCAATCAACTGAATTTCCCACAGGTGGGAACTCCAATCAAGTTGTGGAAACATCTCAAGGATGATCAGTGGGAACTATCTTGGTTTCATTTGTCCCAATGCACCAGAGCTCAAAATTTTGAGTGGCAAAGGCTGTGAATGTTTATGTTTTTGTTTTTTTCAATAAATTGTGAAGATTACAAAACAAACTTCTTTTACGTTGTCATTATGGAGTATTGCTTGTAGAATGTTGAGGGAAAAAATTAGTGTAATCCATTTTGGAATAAGGCTGTAACATAACAAAATGTGGCAAAGGTTAAGCGCTGGGAATACTTTCTGGATGAACTGTACAGAAGCAGCATTATGTGCTAGTTTCCACCCCCCCCTCAGTGTTTGTTGATTCCTCAGGAATTCCTGGGACAGGTTCCTGACATTTACTATCCTTAATTAAGAAACACATTGGCCTATGTAACTTACCAAGACCTCCACAGTATTGAAGACTACCAGGAGCAGATTGTCATTGCTGTGAAAGCCCCAGAGGAAACCAAGTTAGAGGTTCCAGCTCCCAGCGAGCGAGGCAAGTACCTTATGACTGCAGCTTTAGTAAGGTAATCATGATGGAGAAGATGAAGGCTACCATGTTGACCATGTTCTGAAAATGCTAGTTGCCTGGCTGTCACGTTTGTGTTTCGGAACTTCACGTCACATTACGGACCTGAAAAATCATGCAAATCGGAAGTCAGAAAATGTATCTGCTAGCTAGTTCTGGGTCATTGTCTCAAAATGCATTTTATCTACTGGATCAGTATGAGCCAGGCAACTAACATTTTAATGCAAGACTAGAAGTTTTGGTTTTCATAAAGCATGTCTGCTGTGAGAGACATATGGGGACTGACTTTACTGAGCTACTTCTGAAAATGAGAAAGTGTCTGCCTTCAAGGTCAGTTCCAGCACCCCCTCACATATTTGTTTATTCCATAATTTGGGGCATACTTACCTTTTACATTTTCTCTACTTAGTCACATAAAGTGCCTTTCTCCAGGAATCCAAAGCATTCAATCAAAATTTAACTTGTTTGCTTTGACAGAATTAATACTAAGTGGCTGCTGTGGGTTATGGCATATAAAGCCCAATAAAACTTTTGTTTAAATCTGCTAAATACATTCAAAACAAATGGTGTCCAATGTCGTACAGTATGTTTACTTCAGATAGCAGTCAGTGTGATTAGAAAAGCGTGGCCCCTGTTAGCAGCTGCCCTTGTTCTCTGTATGGAATCAGTGGTCTTAAACCTAAAACTCTGCGTTCAGCAGGGGGGAGGGGGGGGGATGTCGGATTTCTGCAGAGAGACTACTGCTTCACACAGTGGTAGGGGCTCTTCTTTGCAGTGTTGACAGGATACAGGCTTTTTTTCTTTTTTTTTTTCTTTTGCTGTGTCTGCTTTCTAAAGAGTTTTAGATTTTTATTACTCTGTTTTGGATAGTGTATGTGTCCCTGTTAATTTAATCTCACTTTTGCTTGACACCAGATGCCTGGACAGTAAAAAGAAATCTCCTCCTGTGAGGCTCAGGCAGCAATTCTATCCTGAAATAGATTCTGATATTTACTTGGTCAATTAGAGTTTATTGCTGTGTTTGTCTGATGGAGAGATTCTTTCATTTCCTGTTCTGACATCTGTCAAATAGACAGAAAATGAAGATAAACTTTGGAGATACAGTTGACACGAAAAGATTGTTGGAGGGTGTAACCCTTGCACTTGCTGTACTATTATAACAAATTTCTGCATATATATCTGATTATATTTTGGGGAAATACATGTATTTGACTCATCATGTATGCCATTGTGTTCTTTGCAGGATTGCATAGAGATTCATATAAAGAGCTCAAAGGGGCCAATTGATGTGTATCTTTGTGAAGCGGAGGATGAAAATGCAGATGGGAAATCTTTTCGGAGATTAACAAAGACCCTTAAGATGGAACCAGATCCAATTCTAATTGACGATGGTAAGGTGTATATAATAGTCATACTTTAGAAGACAAACCCCAAAATAGTCTAAAATATTACTTTTGAAATCTGGTTGCTGCAGGATTTTGCTGCATGCTAATAGACTTGGTAGCGTTTGTAAGTTCTAAAGCTTCCCACAGACATAAGATAGATATCTGAAGAAATGTTGAATGCTTTGGAAATGGCATGGTAAGACCATTTGTGTTTTTTTTTGATGAGCATTCGTAAAAATATCAATTTGTAGCGCTCCAGCTTCTTTTTATTTTCTGTTAATTGAACAATCCCTTTTTTAGATCCTCTGATCATCAGTCATGCACACGATACATACATATGCATGTCTTGTAGTTGCATGTCTGTTCTATAATATTTGGCACCATCACATATGTATAATATGCGCCATCTTCTTAAACCACGTTTGTCAGGCGTTGTCTTCTGTGTTTATATATAGGAAGGAAATGCAAAGTCTACCTACTATATGATTTTTTATTTTTTTTTGTTTGTTTTTTTTATTTGCAAAATGCAATATTTCATTTAATAATAGAATTAAAATAAATATATTTAATATTAAAATGATGCTTCCAGTTATATAGGTTATGTGCACACATCTTGGATTTGCCATAATGCACAAGTATAGATGTCAAGCATACCTCCTCCAGTGATAAAAGATCCACATTCACTGTTGCTGTCATTGCCATCCTCTGCCACTTCTGAACCTGGCATATTCGTTCTTTGGTCATTGGGTGTCCGGTGATGTTAACTTCTGCACCGCTGAAGTTAAATTATCCCTACACTTGGCTGAACTCTCAGCATCTTAGAGACGCATACGCACCAGGCAGTGTATAATTTACACAAAGAAAGCATTTTTCTCCTAGTTATGTTTCACTTCTGTTTTAAAGCAGAAACACATGCAAATATATTTTCTAGAAATAACTAGAAAATTCACTTTCTGCTGTGAATACAGTCATCTACAAGTGATGTTGCTTAGACAGTGAACTTGCCAGTTTATTGCTATATAGGGGTGCACCGAAATCTCGGTGGCCGAAACATTTCAACTGAAAACTCTTCTATCGGCCGGGGACCAATATGAAAGTAAGCACCGCTACAGGTGCCGAAAATGACTCTGCCCCCTCGCTGCTGTCAATCAAAGTGTGAGAGCGCTGGAACCTGAAAAATGGCCTGGGCAGGAAGGGGGTAAAATGCCCGGTATTGAATTGGTTAATTGTGCAAACATGCATTTCACTGCTCCTGAAGCTCCATATGTGCTTACCATAGATATATACTGTATGCATATATGCAGCCATGCATAAGTGTCTGTGAGAAAAGGCTCCTGTGTCTACCATGAATATTGAGATCTAGCTGGGGAACGTTTGCATACTGTGACCATGAGCATTAAATGTGGATATTACTGCTGTAATCCTTCATGGGGGGAGGGGAACTACAGACAAGGTACTCCACCATTAGAGCTTTTTATTTTTTAGATGTCCTCTCTCTTTTTATTTTATTTTTTTGCCTACACTCTTGAAGGAAACCTGAGAGAGGATGAAAGCAAGAAAACCAATTGTGCAGCAGTATACAAGGCACCATAAGCTGCCTACTAGTGCGTTGTCAGGAGTACCTAAGATAAAAAAAACCCATCAAAGAAAAAAAGGAACGTTAAAAGTGTCTGGAGCAAAGTGCTCACCTTCTAGCAAGAATCTTGGTTGATTAACCACTTGCCTACCAGGCACTTATACCCCCTTATTTACCAGGCCAATTTTCAGCTTTCAGCGCTGCCGCACTTTGATTGACAATTGCGCGGTCATGGAACATTGTACCCATATGAAATTTTGATCATTTTTTTCTCACAAATAGAGCTTTCTTTTGGTGGTATTTAATCGCCACTGGGCACTTTACTTTTTGCGCTATAAATAAAAAAAGTGCAAAAAATTTGAAAAAAAAAAAAAAGTTTCTTTGTTTCTATTATAAAATTTTTCAAACAGGTATTTTTTCTCCTTCACTGATGTGCGTTGATGAGGCAGCACTGATGGGCACTGATAAGCGGCACTGATGGGCACTGATAGGCGGCACTGATGGGCACTGATAGGCAGCACTAATGAGGTGGCACGGATAGGCGGCACTAATATGCAGCACTGATAGGCGGCACTGATAGGTGACACTGATGATGGGTACTGATAGACGGCACTGACTGGCACAACCCCTGGGCACTGACTGGTGGCACTGGTGGGCTGCACTGGTGGGTGGGCACAGGTGGGTGGCACTGGTGGGCACAGGTGGGTGGCACTGCTGGGCACAGGTGGGTGGCACTTCTGGGCACAGGTGTGTGACACTGCAGAGTGGCACAGGTGGGTGCACTGCTGGGCACAGGTGGGCGGAGCTAGTGGGCACACTGCTGGGCGGAACTTGCGGGTGGCACTGCTGGGCACCGATCATCAGGGCACTGATCATCAGTGCCCTGATGATCGGTGCCGATCCCCGCTCTGACAACTGCCGGTTCTCAGCAGTACTTTCCTCACGATCTGACAGCGTGAGGAAAGTGCAGCCGAGAACCGGCACTTGCATTTCCCTGTGATCAGCGTGTCATTGGACACCGCTGATCACGTGGTAAAAGGCCGCTGTGATTGGCCTTTTACCACATCACGTGATCAGCTGTGTCCGTAGGACACAGCGATCACGGAGATCGCCGGGTGCGCGCCCCCTGGGGCGCGCAGGAGAGCGCGTTCTGGGAGGACGTCATATGACGTCCACTCAGAACTGGCCGGCCGCAGTGCAGCCGTCATTCGGCTATCTGCGGTCGGCAGCTAGTTAAACAATCTTCACAATGTGATAGCTGAAAAATAAAAAGTGTAAATCTGTGGATAATATACAATGTGCAAAATAACAAATACAAAGTGACTAAAGATAAAATTACAATAGATGGCGTGGGTACCCCATATACTAGATGCTCACATAGCTAGCATTAACACTAAAGAAGGAATTCTGCTGCTTAAATGGATTGGGAGCTCCACCTGCATGAAGTAACCACTTCTTTTTCAGCTAGACCTAGCAGGGCTACCCACCCTAGTTAAATACCTCGCTGCTAAGAATGAACCACCTCGTTGGCAGCAATCCACCTTGCAGAGTGGTTCATTCTCTATGGCGAGGTATTTAACTGGGGTGGGTAACTGCTAAGTCTAACTAAGGAATAAGTGGTTACTTTGAAACGTGTCCTGGTTTGCTCAGCTCCAGTGGTGACGTCATCTGGGAGCCGGTCAGGTCGGAGTGTGGGATTCCTGTGGCGTCCTTTCCATCTCGCCAGTCTGGAACAAGGCAGTTGTGCGGACGCTGTCTATCACCCATGATTACTGTTTGGCTGCATGGAGCCTGAACACAAACCATCTCACTATACTTTTGTTCCTCCCCATATTTCATTGTCCTGTGAGTAGAACCATTGTTTTAATAAAGTCCTTTTCCCACACTACACCTCAAAAAAACCCAAACTACATTTGGAAATTCATCTTCCACCTCCCACTATGACATCAGTGACCTGATGTCACATGGCAAGGTGGTAGAAGGTGCTTAAGCAGCGTCAGTTGGCAAGGGGGTAGAAGGTGCCTAACGTTGTTTAGATACCATCTTGTGGCATGTTAGAAGTTCCAATGCCATATTAGAAGCACTGGTAAGGTAAGAGATTGCAGTACAGTGGCAGGGTTTTACCTACTTCAACTGGTTACAAGTTCACCTTACAACATCTGTACAGGTACCAGCTGATTTTCCAAGTAAGTCTAGTAAATTCTATAAATCAGAACCAGGACTCCTCCAACCCATACACTGTCTGGGATGCATAGTACAAACATCTGGATTTATAGCATGTGCTTGCCTGAAGCTGTGTCATGTCTGCACCATGCTGTCCTTGTTTTGACTATAATCATTTCTCCTATAAAACAAATGAAAGCTGGCCCGGTGAACATCTGCCTGAAGCAGATAGCAGCAACATCAAATGTGGGAAAGCTTAATTCCAGACCAGTCACTCATAAATCTGTTTAGCCGACATCACCAGACATTCACAGCCGTTCTCTTTATTGTGGCTGACTGTTGTTTCCTTTTGTCTTACAGACTGATAAATGGAGGCCTCTATCAATACTGATGGGATAAAGCTCTTCTTTATAAATGTGTCACTGACTGTTTTTATATCGCACAAAATGCCATCCCGGTTTTTAATGGTCATGGATGTCCAAAGCTCTAGGAAGGAGCTTTTATCTTCTGTCTCACTTGAGACCTGATGGTATCCTGTTTTGGGGGAGTTAGGGGAACTGGAGTGAAGAGGTCTGCTCTGATCAAACTTGGTGCAGCTTTCTTGGCAATGTCTACAGCGCCTTCTAAACTTTCCTCAGACTTTGCTGCTTGTAAAAATTTTTATAATTTTGTAGTAATCACAGATACAAATATCTGACTCATTATAATCATCAGCAGATGTATTTAAGAAGTGTCTACGCTGCCCTCTAGGACCATTGGAAATGTAGCAGTGTGTGAACCGGCACCCAGGGAATTAGATTCGTTAAGCTGCTGATTGCTGTTATGGCTGTTGGCAAACTGAATCATAAGCTTTGCTCCTAATATTCCTTTTCAGATGTAGAAAGATTATAAATTATTGTGATGTCTGCTTGGTATTTTATAAAACCTATTCTCCCAGGTGCCAGTTAACCCTCTGTGTCCTTCAGCACCTCTTCCAAAACGAATTCTCCTTTTAGGTCCTCATCCATCTTCTCCTATGTTCTGTAATAGTGCTGATACTTTAGAGCAATGAGATGATTGGAAGGAAGTAAGGGATAATTAATATACAACCATTTTAGGTTTCATGGACCCTAGGTTTGTGTTAGACACTCAATCATGTATACTAATTCTAGTAAAATCATTTCAGGGAGTATATTGTAATCTGTAATTGTGTATCTTTTCGGTTCTGCTCAAATGTAGGATTGGTTTAAATGTGCTGCATTAGCACATACTGTTATGATCATTAATGTGTGTTTTACTAAGGCAACCTATTCATTT